TTTTTTTTTTTTTTTTTTTTTTGAGACAGGGTCTCACTATGTAGTCTAGCCTGGCCATGAACTCACTGTGTAGCCCAGGCTGGCCTCCTGCACTCATCAGACCCTCCTGCCTCAGCCTCCCAAGAGCTGGCGTTACGGATGTGCCCTACCACACCTGGCCCTGCTTTCTACTTTATAAGCTATAACCATTTTCCATGTTTCTCTTCTGAATATTGTGTTCACAGCGTTTTAGATCACCCAGGAATTTTTAATTTTTGAGGAGTAAAATTCAACAGTTTCCACGCCAGGCTTAGATAGAGCTTCCCCATTCCAAGATCATGAGACTAAACACTTTCACCCAGCACTTCTGCTCTTCCTTCTTTCATGGTTCTTTTTTCCGGGTGGTGCCGAGGACTGAACTGGGGACCCCTGCACACTGTGAGCTCCTGTTCTATCGCTGCACTACAACCCTACCCGAATCACTGTTTGTGATGTTTAAATTTGCATCCAATCTGGAATTAAAAGTGGCTGAAAAGTGAAATAGAAGATTCAGTCCACCATGATGCACATGGCTCTTTGGTTCCACTCATCCTTTTTTTGTTTTGTTTTTTTTGGTTCTGGGAATCAAACTCAGGACCTTGCTGCTGCGAGGCAGCAGTGGTACCAGAGCTAAATCTCCGGCCCTCACTCATCTTTTATTAAATATTTCATGTCCCACTGGTTTGGTTTTTTGTTTTTTGTTCTGTTTTTGTGTAGCCCAGGCTGCCTTGAGTGCCCAGAGACCCTGTCTCAGCCTCTGGAGCTCTAGGATTTCAGGTGTGTAATAGCACACCCGGCTCTTCCTACTGATTTGAAAAATCATTTTATCACACCCTACATTTTCCCTCCATGCCTATGGTGAGCTCTATTCCATGGAGCCATCTATTAAAAAATGCTCTAGTTTTCCTTTCTTTTTCCAGTACCAAGAATTGAACTCAGGATATTGCGCTTGCCGGGCAGACAGGCCACCACTGAGCTACATTCCCAGCTCTTTTTCACCTTTCTTTTTGCTGCTGGCCACTGAGCCCAGGGCTTCCTATGCCCTACCACTAAACACACATACCCTAAATGTCTTGGTTTTATAACTTTACAATATGTTCCAATCACTGAAAGCACTCAACCTTTTCTAATTAGTAATTGAAATTTATTTAAAGTTATAAAAACACACTAAAGATCACCTCCCTGATACCCCCACCTGTCTGCCACTCTCTCAGAGGCGCTTAAAACACAGCCTGGCTTGCCTAGGGAGAAATTTTAAAAACTAAAATTGGCCAGGTACAGTGGTTTACATCGGTAATCCCAGTACTCTGGGAGGCTGATGCAGGAGAAGCGCAAATTCAAGCCTGGTTTGAGCAATTTAGTGACTTTGTGAGACCCTGTCTCAAAAAAACAAACAAACAGAAAAAAACAAAAGGCCGGTCCTGGTGAGGCACACCTGTCAGCCCAGCACTCGGGAGATTGAAGCAGGCGGATGGGAGCAAACTTGAGGCCAGCTTGGGCAATACAGTGAGTTCAAGGCCAGCCAAAGTACTTTGTGAGACCTTGTCTCAAATATCAAAAAAAAAAAAAATTTTAAAGGGCTGGGGATTTCGCTCAATGGTGCTGCCTGCCTCGCAAACTCGAGGTCATGAGTTCGATCCTCAGTGCCAAAAAGAATAAATAAGTTAATAATAATAACAATAAAGGGCTGCAGCTCACTGTGAAGGCCTTGGGTTAAATTCTCAGTACTGGAAAAACAAAACCCAATCCAAATCAAAACAAACAAAACTATTGGACACTGAAGGCAGAATACAAGCGGCTCTGCTCGGGAGTGACATCTCGAGGACGCGCAGGGACTGCGGAACGCAAGGATCCCAGTTCCTCCTGGAATTCAGTCTTTAACCTTGGGCCCCAGGACCCCAAGGCCCCAAGGCCCCAGGCTCCCCGCCCACTCCGTCCCCTTCCAATTACCGCCCTGTGGTGACGTCACGTCCTGTCCTGACCGGAAGTCCCAGCGGCTCCCGGAAGCGCCGAAGCTTGGGAGATGGCTGACCTGGAGTCCTCGCTCCTGGGCGGACCCGAGGCCGCGGCGCCCCCACGATAGAGCGGGCCTGGGTCCCGAGGTGAAAAGCATCGGGCTGAACGAGGGCGCAGAAGGGAGCCTGGGACCCCCGGGGCCCTCCGCAACCCTCCCCTGATCCTGGCCTCTCCGTTGCCTTGGCCGGAACCCGGTCCTCCCGGTGCCTCGGTCTCTGCAGACATGGCAGGTGGTGGCCCGGGCCGGGGTCCCCTGACGTCGCCCTTCTTCCCCGCTGCAGGGATGGAAGGGTCCAAGGCGTCCAGCAGCACCATGCAGGTGAGCTTCGTGTGCCAGCGCTGCAGCCAGCCCCTGAAACTGGACACCAGCTTCAAGATCCTGGACCGAGTCACCATCCAGGAGCTCACAGGTCAGCGACACCGGGAAGAGGGCGGTCAGGACGTGGCTCATCGGGAACCTGAAGGTGTTCTGACGGGTGCGCTGTCTGGAGCAGCCGCCTGGGGGAAGGCGCGCGCGCGCGCGCGCGTGTGCGTTCGTGTGTGTGTGTGTGTGTGTGTGTGTGAGCGCGTAGGTGAGGACTGTGTGTGTGTGTGTGTGTGTATGGATAATGAGCGCGTAGGTGGACTCGCATACCAAGCGCGTGACACTTCCTCGGGCCCCACAACGTACCCGTGGAGAGGACCTCGTTAGGCCCTTGCCCAGGGCGGGATCCGGGTGATCTGGCCGCCGCTTAGTGGAGGAGTCATCTCAGAGCCCAAGAAGTGAGGTGAAGTCACGGACAGACAGAGGGACGGGATGGAATGGGCAGTGGGACGTGAGCTGATGGAACTGGAACCAGCCCGCTTGGGTTTACACATGAGCTGACTCGCACCAATGATTTAAGCCTTGGCTTCTTTCTTGAAAATTTAAACCTGCCTCTTAAGATAGTTGTAAGGATTGCTCTTTGTTTTGATGAGACAGGGTCTCAGTTTGTAGCACAGGCTGGCCCTGAACTGACTGTAGCCCTGGCTTGGTGATCCTCCTGCCTCACCTCCCAAATGCTGCGATTATAGGTGTGCACCACCATGCCCAGCAGTTGTAAGGATTAAATATTACAAAGCACATGAAATTTAGGAATATGAATGTTAGCTATTGCTATTTCCTGATTTTTCTGATTGGAATGAAGTCTTTATATAGATTTTTGACTTCTGTTACAGGAAATTTCAAATATACAGTCAGGAAGACAGCATAATAAGCTCTGTTGTATCCATCACCAGCTTCAGCAGTTAGTCACCTTCTCCCATTCTTTTTTCTCTTCTTTCTTTTTTTTCAGACCCAGAATCAAGCTCAGGACCTTACACTTGCCAGGCAGCAGGGTGCCACTGAGCCACATCCTGGCCCCTCCCGTTATTTCATTATTTGTACCTCCAATCACCTCCCATCCCCCCTTTTCACACTGAGGTACATCTCTAGTGCTTTTTTAATTTTTTGAGACAGTGTTTCCCTAAATTGCCCAAAGTGGGCTCAAAAGTGGCATCCTCCTGCCTCAGCCTCCCAGAGTGCTGGGATCTTTTTTGATTGTTTTGGGCACAGACTCACTGTGTAACCCAGACTGGTCTTTTAACTCTTGCTCCTCCTACCTCAGCCTCCTGACTGCTGGAATTACAGGTGTGCGCCACTACACCTGGCATCTCCTCCTAGTTATGGTTTTCATTCTTTTTTCTTTTAAGTTGTTGCATTTGAATGACGTGATGTTTCAGTACATGTACACGCTGTGCAGTGTTCAGATCAGGCTGGACATTTCTGTCTTCCAAAAGTTCTTTCTGGTGAGAATCCTGCAAACCTGTCCTCCTCGCTGTGCTGAGATGCACAGCACATCTCTCTAGCGGCGGTCACTGGCTACGTGTGGAGCACAGAGTGGCTCCCTGATAGACCTGGTACCTGTCCACCAGCCCCTGCCTCCACTGCCGGCTCACACTGGCGCACGCAGCCTCTGAGCAAAGGCTCAGACTCCACTGATGAGAGCTCAGCCCAGCGGCGTTTGTCTTCCACACCTGGCTGTTTTCACTCAGTGTGATGTCCCCTGGTCCCGCCCACATATCACAGGTGACATATTTCATCTTTTTTTTTCCTAAATGGGATTTCATAGTGTAGATACTGGCTGTGCATTTTTCACAGGTGGGTACACTTACATAATCCCGATTGGTGTAAAGGAGAAAGGTTTCTTCTCCCCTAAAAGCTCTCATGTTTCTAAGTATTCTAAGGGAAAGGTGATGTTACATTTTGTGATGGGAAATTTCCAAATCAGCCTCACCTGTGTGTAGCTGAAACCCAGTGTGTTTGTAGCCATCACCCAGTTACCCACTGCCAACACATTTGGTCATGTTTGCTCTAAGCCCCACCCATTTCTCCCCATCCTGATCTGTTTTGATGGAAATCCCTGACAGATACAGGCTGTAAATATTTATACATCTTTGAAAGCTAAGAACTCTTTTTTTTTTTTTTGGTACCCGAGATTGAACTTGGACTCTTGTGCTTGTGAGGCAGGTGGCCGAAACCCTGAGCCAAATCCCCACCCAAAGACTCTTTTTAAAATAACCATGATGCCCATTATTAATACTTTTAAATTTTAACATTTTCTGCTGGGCACAGTGGCATATGCCTTTAATCCTAACCCTCTGGGAGGCTGAGGCAGGAAGATTAAAAGTTCAAGTCCAGGTTGGGGACCTTAGTAAGGCCCTGTCTGAAGGTAAAAGGGCTGGAGATATAGGGCAGTGGTAGAGCACTTGTCTGGCATGTATGAGATCCTGGGTTCTATCCACAGTACTACAAAAAATAAGGCAAAAAAACTCAAACATTTCCTTAACCTGTTTTAATGGGGAGAAGGGAAAAGACAAGTTTCTTCTTTGTATAAATGTTACTTTAAAAAATAAAAAAAGCCCAGGAGTGGTAATGAGGGCATTTCATATTCTTATACTATACTTTAACAAAAAGTCCTCCTGCTCATGTAAGACTGTTTCATACAGGCGTGGTGGTGCACGCCTGTAACCCCAGCACTTGGGAGGCTGAGACAGTGGGACTGTTAGGAGTTCGAGGCCAGCCTACACTACAGAGTCAGAGACTCTGTCTCAAAAGAAAGGAAAGGAAGGAAGAAAAGACCGTTTCTCACTTGGTATTTTCCTTGCTTCAGCTCCATTACTTAGCACAGCCCAGGTGAAACCAGGAGAGACCCAGGAGGAAGAGGCCAACCCAGGGGAGGTAATGAAAGTGCTCCTGCAGTTCTCATTGCTTATGTGCTCAGTGGGCTCTGAGGTGCAGACACAGGAAGGCGGCCTGCGCACACATCCCTGCCTTGGGAGGGGACCCCAGGGCACTGCCCTCAGAGGCAGGGGTGCGGTGGGAAGCAAAAGGGTAGCTGAGCCCAGAACCCCTACAGCGCTGGGAGCCCAAGCTCGGGCAGTGTTCTGTGGGGTGGCGCTGGGCACACACGTAAGACTTGTCCTGCTCAGGGACAGGGAAGTGGCCAGAGAGCACTGGTGAAGAAGCAGAGGGCTGGCGGACAAAGTCTGTAGATGCCATGGTTTTCCTTCACATAAATTCTGCCCCAGTACTGAGTGTGAATTGTGTATGTTGTGCTGTGGCAAACCGCACTGCAGTCCGGTCTGGCCCTTTCCGTGCGCCGTGATTAGGGCACGTGTTGCAGAATGCAAATCTAATCATCAATTGAGAGAACATAGTGAGGAAATGCTGTTCCCCACCAAAACGTATCGAACAGGACTTGTGGCTTGTCTGTACCAAGGAGCCTTTTTCTTTGCCTGGAAAATCCCATTCCCTGCGTCTCTGATTCTCCAGGGCTTGCAGGATCAGTGGAGGGAAGAGCCAGGCAGCTGTGAGGCCGCAGGAAAGTGGGCGCCACCTCCTTGCTGCTGAGCTCTAACGCGCTCGCGCTCTCTCTCTCCCAGGAACCATTTGTGGAAACCCGCCAGGACGGCGTCTCCCGCCGCTTCATCCCCCCAGCCAGGTGCCCACTCCTCTTTGGCCCCCTCTTCCCTGCCGAAAGCCAGGAGGCGTCTAGCCCAGAGTCTGAGACGCAAGCCGGGGATGTGGCGCCCTACGCCAGCCCTCGTGCCCATTCATACGGTGGCATGGATGGCAGCGCCCATGGGAATTGAGGGGCATTGAGGTCGGCGGTTAAGGAGATGGGCTCTGAGCAGTTCAGGGCAGCAGCTGCGTCCCGCTGTCCCGGCCCCCAGTTCTCGTAGGTGTGCTCTTCCCTGCTGCTCCTCCCTTCCTGCTGTAGACGCCGCCCTTCCCCGCTCCAGAGTCCACCCTGGGCCCCTGGGAGGCAGGCAAGCAGGTCAGGCCCTCACGCGTGCTGCTGGGTGTCCGCAGGATGATGTCTACAGAGAGCGCCAACAGCTTCACGCTCATCGGGGAGGCGTCCGACGGCGGTACCATGGAGAACCTCAGCCGCAGACTGAAGGCAAGTGGGCCTGGCCGGCCCGAGCAGCAGGGCCCGCAGGTGTGGGGGGCCCCGCCCTGACTGCCCCACGCTTCCAGGTCACCGGGGACCTTTTTGACATCATGTCGGGCCAGACCGATGTGGACCACCCGCTGTGTGAGGAGTGCACAGATACACTGCTGGACCAGCTGGACACGCAGCTCCATGTCACCGAGAACGAGTGTCAGAACTACAAGTGAGCGCCCGCACCCCTGGCGAGTGCACGCTCCCCTCCCGGTCCCTGACTCTGTGCATCCCGGCAGGCGCTGTTTGGAGATCCTGGAGCAGATGAACCAGGATGACAGTGAGCAGCTGCAGCGGGAGCTGAAGGAGCTCACCCTGGAGGAGGAGCGGCTGATCCAGGAGCTAGAGGAGGTGGAAAAGAACCGCAAGGTGGTGGCCGAGAACTTGGAGACGGTGCAGGCCGAGGCGGAGCAGCTGGACCAGGAGGAAGCCCAGTGAGTGCTTCCTGCCCTCCACTGCGGGCGAGGGTGGCTTCCATGAGAGCGCGTGCCCATGCGTGCGTGTGGTGGGCAGTGTGTGTGTGCGCTGGTCCTGCGTGTTGTTTCCAGACCTTTTCCCGGCGGCTCCTGGGGGCCTGGGATGAAAAGTCAGTGTGATCCCATGAAAAAAGGGGTGCTGGTTAAAGAGAGGGCCCCGGCCCAGGCTACAGTCTTGGCTCCGTCTGGAGGGAACAGCTCACTGGAGCCCGTGTTTGTTCCTGCCAGGCTCAATCCCAGGATGCCCTGGGCCTGAAAGAGCCCTGTCTTGCAGGGGAGACACTGTCCGCCCTTAGGGACAGGACAAAGCGGGCTTCTCGCCAGTGGTGTGATGAGCTGCACTGCTGACGGTACTTGAAGGAGGAGCGAGGAGGGGGCACAGCTGGTTTTTGGAAAAGCCACTCAGCTCACTTCCGAAAAGGAGCGGAAGTGTGAGTGATTTTCTGTCCTGGTTCAGAAGAGCCCTTTTCTCCTCCACCTTTTTTCTGTCTGGGCCTCTGGAACTTGAGGCATTTTCGTGCCTCCCAAGCACCACAGTTAAGGCGTACAGGAGCCCTGACCGGGCCTGCGCGGCACCCAGAGGTAGCCCCGGGCGGAGAGTAAATGGCTCTGAGAAACTGGCCCCAAACTAACAGCCTGTGTCGGCTGGGCTGTCCCAGGTACCAGCGGGAATACAGCGAGTTTAAACGGCAGCAGCTGGAGCTGGATGATGAGCTGAAGAGTGTAGAGAACCAGATGCGCTATGCGCAGGTGCAGCTGGACAAGTTGAAGAAGACCAACGTCTTCAACGCCACCTTCCACATCTGGTAATAAGGGAAGGGGGCGCGGTGGGGCCAGGGAACCCCGCACACGTGGGCCCTAGCTTGGCCTGAACTAGGGCCCAGCTCCCCCAAAAGAGGGACGGCAGGTCTCCTTCACCCCAGCCACGTGCCTGCCGTTGCTTGTGACGGGGTAGGCACAGTCCAGGGCCACACGTGCGCCGTATTCACTTGGTCGGTGTCTTCCCCGCTTGACGGGTGAGCGCCGCATGTCTGCAGTGTGGCAGGCACTGTGCTGGGCACCGGGAGGCCCACAACAAACACCACACAGCCGCCCTCCGGCGCCTTCCAGCTCCTTCTGGTGTGGGGAAAGCTGGCTAAACAGGCAGGTGTGATGCAGGTGGCAGTGGCACACCCCAGTGCCGTGGGGACACCGGCCCAGGGCGAGAGGTGGTAGAACTGCCCCGGCAGAGGTCGAGCGGTGAAGCTGCATCGACAGAGGCTGCCAGCGGCAGAGAGAACGTCTCGTGCAAGAAACAGGAACGGGGCGTGGTGAGGTCAGAACAGGAAGGCGTCTGCTGTGATGGAAGACGCAGTGTAGAGGGGTGGCGGACGTCACAGCAGGGAGTGACCCGCTGGAGAGGGGGCTCGCAGGGCTTGGGATGGGGTCGAAGCCAGAGCAGAGCGAGCGGTAGAAGCATTCAAGGCAGGGAAGTGACAGCTCCATTCTGCTTGCGTCAGACAGCTTTACCTGCAGTGAGAGAAATGGCTGGGGCGGGAAGGTAGGACTCAGAGCAGGAAAGGAGGAGTCACACTGAGTGCAGAGGTGGTGAGGGTGGGAGCTGAGCGAGGGCGCCCCGGTTTCTGCTGTGACACTGACAGGGGAGGGGCCTCGGGTTTCAGGCACGGATAGGCCGTGCTGCCGGGCTTGGGCACACGACCCGCAGCCAAGGAGGGCGCTGTGCACAACAGGGTGCACAGGGGGTGTCGCTGAAGGCGTCGGTAACCGCATGCCCAGCCTCCGCGCTCCCCCCAGGCACAGCGGGCAGTTCGGCACCATCAACAACTTCAGGCTGGGCCGCCTGCCCAGCGTCCCTGTGGAGTGGAATGAGATCAATGCTGCGTGGGGCCAGACTGTGCTGCTGCTGCACGCCCTGGCCAACAAGATGGGTCTGAGGTTTCAGAGGTGAGGCGTGCGGCACCGCGGAGGTCCCTGTGGGGGGTGGCCCCTCTGTCCTCTGGCTTTCCATCCGTCACACTGCACGACGGGAACAGTGGTCCCAGCCTTCCAAACACCTCAATGTTCCTCAAGAGAACTTCAGCTGTTATTTTTTAAATCTGACTCCAAGCACATATTAATCCAAGAAAGGCTCCCAGATAGCCATATAATGAATGTAATTTTTTTAATAAAGTCTCTTGTTCATTTATTTGTTTGTTTTCTGAGCCAAGACTTGCTCTGTGGCCCCGGCTGGCCATGAACTGATGAAGCCTGAGCTAGCCTCCAACTCGAGATCCTCTTACATCATCATCCCAAGCTCTGGGATGACCACACTCAGCAACAAAGTCTTTTAGCCATGAATACTACGGGGGCCGGGGAGTTAGCTCAGTGGTGCTGCCGCCTGCCTTGCAAGCACCAGGACTCGAGTTCAAGCCCCAGTAGGAAAAAAAAAAAAAAAAAAAAAAAAGAACGCTGTGGGGAGGTGGGAGAGAAGGTTGGCAATAACGAGCAAATCCTTGGATAAGAAGCAGATTGAAAAGCCACTAACGCCATTAGGCCGAGGCATGCACCCACCTGTCTTCATCTCATTGTAGGTATCGACTTGTTCCCTATGGAAACCATTCATACCTGGAGTCCCTGGCAGACAAATCCAAGGTACTCAGGGAGGCCCTGTCATCACTGGATTACAGAACTCTTATTCCTCCTAACAAAATGATTTTGTTTTGGGTCTGGAAGGGTAGCTCCGTGGGGAGCACTGTCCTGGCATACACAAAGCCTTGGGTTCCAATCCCTGGCACTGAAAAAATAAGGGTTTGCCAAGCTGGGCGTAGTGGCACACGCCTGTAATTCCAGTACTTGGGAGGCTGAGGCAGGAGGATTGCTGTGAGTTCGACCAGCCTGGGCTACATAGTGAGTTCCAGGTCAGTCTCAACGACATAGTGAGACCCTGTCTCAAAAAACCAATAAAAGGGTTTGCCTTTGATATTGACATCAGCCAGTTTCCTTCTCGGACTGGGTTGCCCATAAAGGGCCAGTGCCTCACATAGGCATAGCGCTGAGGGGTGGACAGAGCAGTCAGGCTTTCCGGGCCGTTGAGCCGGGTGGGGCCAATCAGAGACCAAGTGGGCCAGGCTGAGGAGGGACTGGGTAGGGTGAGATTGGTGCATCCCCCTGCCAGGATTTAGCACCCGGGTGTTGGATTTGCCCAAGGTTGTTGCCACTGTGGGATAAAGTTGTGGAAAGCAGAGTCCTGCACCATACTCGTTTCTGGTGGACACAGAGTACGGCTGGAGCGGCCGATGGGACTGGGACGGACCTCCAGGCACCTGACCGCAGCCGCTCTCTCACTTGAACAGGAGCTGCCATTGTACTGTTCTGGGGGGCTGCGGTTTTTCTGGGACAACAAATTCGACCACGCCATGGTGGCTTTCCTGGACTGTGTGCAGCAGTTCAAAGAGGAGGTGGAGAAAGGCGAGACGCGTTTTTGTCTTCCATACAGGTCAGTAACCCCCATACTGAGGGAACTCGCAGTGGGACCCCACTGAGCGGCACGGAAGGGATGTGAGAAAGCAGGCAAAGCCGAGCCGTGGTGGGAGGCAAACCCAGAGCAGACTCCCACGACGTCAGGCCGGTGGGCAAAAGCAGACCCCGCACTGCAGGCTGGCAGGGAGCGGCTGCCGGGTCCTGGAGTCGTAGGTGGTTCTGGGATTTTCTTGGCATTAAGCTGATGCCTGCTGTCCAGTTTCAGGAAGGTTCCTCTGCAGCCTCTGGAAATGTACAGGAATGTCCTCCGGAGCCCAGGGGTAGATGGCAACCAGCCCGAGACAGGAAGGTTGAGTGGGCCCGGTCACCCTGAAACAGAGACTTCCTTTCTCCTGTGAGCTCGGAGATGCCTAGGAACAGTGACGGGTGCTGTGACCCTCCCTCACCCTGCAGGCTTCTCAGCTGTTTGGGTGTGTGTCCTGTCCCCGCACTCCGCAGTGACAATGAGGCTCCTGTGACAGCCTTTTTGATGTTGGACTTTCAAGCAAATCCAAAATGCACCGTGGTCCCGGCCAAGAGCTCTGTTAGATAAGATGACCGGGAACCTAACGTCCCATGCTCTGCCCCCGCCCTTCCCACTGGCCGCGCCCCCTTGGCTCGGGCTCAGTGACAGTACTGTGGCTTCTGTGTCACCTGCAGGATGGACGTGGAGAAAGGCAAGATTGAGGATACCGGCGGCAGCGGGGGCTCCTACTCCATCAAAACCCAGTTCAACTCCGAGGAGCAGTGGACGAAAGCACTCAAGTTCATGCTCACCAATCTGAAGTGGGGTCTTGCCTGGGTTTCCTCGCAGTTTTATAACAAATGACTTTTTTTTTTCCTTAGGGGGATGTCTGCCTAAAAGACTAGATTTTGTTTTGTTTTGTTTGAAAAAAATAAAGTTTTGAATTTGGGTGATATTAAACGGCACATGTTTACAATACCAAAAGAGACAAAACCCACAAAAGCCACTTTATTTTAAGGTGTGGTGTGACAGGTGGCACACCTCTGCGGCCACCAACCCTGGCCTAGTTTTGACTCAACCCCAAGCCTTCCTTTCCTTCTGTCCCTCAAAAACAACTAATTTAATTTTCCATCTTTTTTTACTGAGTTGAATTGAAGTTGATGTATTTTCACTGGATTTTATCTTTCTCAACTTCTTGCACTTAAAATATGGAATAGAAACTGTGGTCTCCACCAAGATGCTGAGATGTGTGAGGCGCACATTAGATGACATGGAAAATGTCTTAGCTCTGCCCGGCCACCATGTGACGCGGTCACGTGGTGCCATCCCAGGAGCCTGACACTGAACCCTCTCCTCCCTGGGTTCCTTAGTGAACCCTGATCTGGGCGCCCTGTTGTGTGGCAGGGACAGGGTTTGGTCTGTTTGGGATGTTCGAGAGGTTGCATTATTTCTAATAAAAGGTTTGCTACAGTGTGGTAGCCAGAGGTCCACTGTTTACTTTGCATTCTGGGGGAACTGAGTTCAAGGGCAAGTGTGTTGGCAATACTGGTGAAACACAAAATGGTTTGGTTTCAGTTTTAAAAAACTAGTGGGGGAAAAAATTCAACACCCTAGTGAAAACAAATGTTTGCAGAGGAAGAATATTGTGTGCCTCTCAGTGACAGAACAGAGACCTCACATCGAGGGAAACAGGTGACCTCTGTGACAGACCACATCACCAGAGTCTCCTGGGCACGTTGGTTGACACTTATCTCTGGGTTTGACGTCCCCTACTGATGAAATTAAAGGAAAACCAGGAACAGCTTATTGGACAGAAATGCACCAACATCATAGATCTACCCCGGCCCAGCCCTTTGACACTCTTAGCCTGATGGGACGCAGGGCACACTTGTCCCCCTCGGCTCCTCCTGTGGTGCAGGACAAGGGCTAAACCTGGCAGCCATGCAGTGCCCCCCGAGGCTGGGCCCTTGCCAGCCTGGGTGAAAACATCAGCTCATGAGGCCACTGGTATCCGTGGCTTCTGCCTGCCTCGGCGGGGGTGGGAGTGGGAGCAGCGGCCCTGGTACCCAGGCCTCCCGGCCAGGAGGAACAGGCTGCTGCCCCGGGGTGCTGGCTCCCACACCGTGGGTCAGGACCGCGTAGGAGAACTCGGCTATGCTCGCTGCAGTGATGCCAGTGATGCTGTGGAGATGGCCCACGACCTGCAGAGCAGATGGCTCCCTGTTACACGGCGGCCTCGGCCTCACTGCATGGCACGTTCTCTCCAGCCAGAGGAGAGCCGAAGAGAAGGTGAGCTCAGCCCCTGCGCCCTCTGTGCTCCACACCCCTCCGCTGGAAACTGGGAAGCGTGAGGCGGGCTAAGTGTTCACACAGCAGTGGCCATAATCCCAGGGGGCCGAAGGCACTCATAACGGGCCCTTTCCTACGAGGAAAGCTGGAGAGCCCGCTTCAGCCCTGCCCGTTCCATCCCCAGCCGGGGCTTAGCACAGTGACATCTGCAGGGGAAGTGGCGCTCGGTGGGCTGGTCGGGATGCCTACCTGGCTCCAGCACGCGTGGTTCTGCATGAAAGCACTCGCCGCGATGACCCCTGCTGCCAGAAGCATGAAGTCTTCCTCCACGGAACAAAACTTCTCCCTGAGTGGTTAAAGCCACAGTCATTTCAGAGCCGGAGGGGAGCACGATCTTCCAAGTCCTAGGGTCCTGGAACCTCAACTGGGACTTGTACGTGTTGGGTTTGCAGACCGGAAGGAAGGCTGAGTGCTGGCTCCCGACCCGCTCCCAGGCTCGCCACCCAGCGGGAGGAACTTGAGCCTCCCTGCCGAGCGCTTCCATCTGTCTCCCTATCAGGTGCGACAGTGAGGCTTTCAACAGCCTGGCTTTACAGCAATCAAACACTTTTGTCCAACTTGCAACCCCATGCCTGGCTTTTTCTCCTAAGTGACTATAAAAGCAGTGCAGTATCTCAGGTTGTAAACAGCTAGAAAGGAGAAACTAGGAAGTAACTTAAAGGTGAAAGCGGAAGCCTCCAGAGCCTTCCTGACTAGGCGCAGGAAGCCGATGAGCCCAGGCTGAGCCCCGGCCACTCTACCCCACCACCCTCGGAGAAGCCCTACCCTTGCAGCTGGCTGGGCGTGGCGTCCCCCACAGCTGCCCTCAGCAGGCTCTCGTACACAGGTCCGTGCAGGAGGTAGACCAGGTCGAGCAGGGTCAGGCAGGTGGCGTGCAGCTGCGTGGCTGGGACCACACAGCCGTTGTACCCTAGATGGAACAGGGGTGGGGCGGGGCACTGAACCCATGCTTTCCAGCCATCGGCACCGGTGTGACGCAGAGCTGTTCCACTACTGATAGGCTTCCTGGCCGCTAACTGCTACAGGCAGAAGGTCAGCTTTAAAGGACGAAAGAACAGTAAAGAGGCCTCCAGCTGTAGCACATGTACCATGCCAGTGTCCTTGTTCTTAATCTTATTCCTGTCAATGAAAGCTACTCTGACCCTGCAGTAAGAAAAGTGCCTGTGGAGCCCACGTGGAAACGAGCCACTGAGCCATTTTCCCTAACAGTGCAGGAGGGGGAAGCTCGATCACCCAGGGCACCACGACCTTCCTACTCTTCCTCCCTGGCAGGTTCTGCCTGCTGTTCCCAAAGCCCTGGGCACATTTTACTGCCGTCTAGGAAAGTCTCGAGCCCACGTTCCCTAACTCTATAAGGTACCTAAAACTTCCAGGAGCATCTCCACATACTCCAGGGGAGTGGACAGGTTTATCTGGAAGTCCAGGGACTTCAGGACATCCAGCTCCGACTCCAGCAGCTCTTCTTTAGTATATGGATACCCCAGGCCCTGGAGGAAGTGCAAAGCCATGACGTTGTTGATGATCTGAGCAAAGGAAAACAAAGGGGGCTCCGGTCAGGCCGCGCCTCTCAGCACCACACACAGAGCTCTTCAGGTCCTGCCCTCATGGCCGGGCTTCCCATCCGTCCGCTCGAGCTCGGCGCGTCCCATGCAGTGTGACCCACGGTCCCCAAGCTGGCCTGCTCCCTCCTCTCCCAGCTTCCTGTCCCTGGATCTTACTGCTTCCCTGGCCTCCTCTCCTTGCCTCCTTAAGTTTCCCCCTTTCGCAGGGTCCACCGGGCCATCTGCTTTCTCTGAGCACATGGCTGCCGCGGGGTGATGCCAGCCCTCGGGCCCAACCCCTTTTCCCATCTGATAACGAATTCCCCTCAAATGCATCAATACTTTTGGGGCTTCAGGTACCAGGGCCGCATCTGGCCAAAGCGGAAACTCCATAAATATTTGCTGCATATTTTACTTACTGTGCAGGCAGTGCTGCAGCCACCTCTGACCTTTTCTCAATGTAATCGTCTGTCTTTAATACTGATAGGTAAGTGGCAATTTGGGCACCTTATGTAAACTGTCCTTGAGGCCAAAGAAGGACAGGTGACCCTTGTGAATGGTGGCACCTGTCCAGCAGTTACACTTTGGGAACAGGACTTGGGGCTATTTAATTACTGCCTGTGTGTGATTGTGTGTGCTTAGGGGGTGCGCTACAGACCCAAATTGCTCTCTGGAATTTCCACCTGAGTGGTGTCACCTGGCCGAGGTGTGGGCTTCCCACGGCCACCTCCCAGGAGCTGGCCGCTTGCTAACACCTGGGTGCCCATGAGCAGCCCCACTGCTTACTTTGTAGTGGAAAGACAGCTTGCTGGCCAGCTGGACACACGATACCAGGCGGAGGACAAACTGGCTGCAGAGCCGCTCCTTCCGAACCCTCCAGTTCGGAGCCTCTGTCCACTCGCTGTCCCCCAGCTGGACCGTGGCCTGCGCACAGATGTCCTCTGCCTGCTTGACCATAAACCTGCAAGGAAGGGAGGGGCCGTGAACCATCCACACTGACGATGAAGGGAGCTTTGCTTCCAACTGCTGGGCTTTCTTTTCCCTCTCCCGGTATGGATGCTGGCTAAGACATTTATATTTGCAAATAAAGGAGGGTGAGACGCCAAACCTTGTGGGGAGGGCAACCGGTCCTCTCTGACTGATTCAGGTGTGGTAACCTCTTGCCACTCGCAAGGCCTCTGCTCAGGGCTTTACCTTTCTAGGATTTCTACCGCCTGGTAGCGCACCGATTTCTCCAGACACCATTGTTCAGACAGGAGAAAAACGAACTCTGCCAAAACAGGAAAGGCCAATTCAAAAGGTGCAACCAACACCACTGTGTGTGCTCCTGGCGCTGCATAAAAGCCTTGTTGGGACTAGAAGAGGAGGGTCAGGAGGTAAGATGAGCCTGGAAGACCCAAGCTGAGCTCAGTTGCCTTTGCGGCAAGGCCAGCGGTGATCAGAGGCAGGCCCACGACCTCCCTGGGTGACCAAGAGCCTGCCTGCAGGGGGCACTGATGAAAGGCTTGGCAGTCACACACAAACACCAGCTGGCCTAGCAGGCTCTGCCCCACACTAGGTGTCCAGCTTCAAGGAAGGCTCAGCCACGCTGTTTTCAGCGGGGTGTTGTCAGGGCCAGGAAGGCGCCTCCTGCAGCACCAGGTCCTTGTGAACCTGTTTGTTTAGTCGCCACCCTCTGGAGCACGCCGGGCTCCTCACAACCCTCGTGCCCACAACTGGATGCTGCTTCTCCACTACCAGCAGGCTGGGTACCCTGGGGGTGCTGGGGGTAGGCTATTCTGAAGAAACAGCCCCTGAATCAGGACTTGGAAGGGACCCCTGGGGAGGTGGGAAGGGCAGGATACTTTGGCATAGTTCCTACCCACCTCTGTTTCTCTTTGGAAGAATAGCCCCAGATAGGATTCTACTTAGCTTGCAGTACAGGAGGGTGGAAACGGGGCAGATGTCAGCACTCTACAAAGAGAGCACCTGCAGAGCTGAGAGCTTTTATCATTGAGCAGCAAAGAGTCACAGGCTTGTCTGAAAAGCTTAGGCACAAGTGTTTCAAATTTGGGGAGGTTCCTTCAGATTTTCATATTTACATTTCACCAGGTGTGGTGGCACATGCCTGCAATCCCAGGTCTGGGGAGGCTGAGGCAGTAGGATCACCATGAGTTCAAGACCAGCCTGGACTACATGGTGAGTTCAAGGACAGCCTGAACTACATACCAAGACCTGTCTCAAAAAAAAACAAAAAAAAAAAAAATTTT